GCTCAAATGACTCAGCACTCTTGGTGGGTTTGGATGTTCCCAGCAGATCGATCCAGGATAGGTTTGGCATGCCTGGCGACGAGACTTGCGAGTCTTCAATGGGAAAAAAACACGACGGAAGTCGGCGGGTGGCGAACATGGATCAGTGGCGGGTGGACTTTTTTTTGTCACCCTATCTTGGCGAACTACTCGTAGCTAACTTTCTTCATGCCGTGTAAGATAATTTATCCCCCCGTTCATCACCCGCCGATTTTTTATTCACGTCCCCGTTGAAGATTGCGGATACCGTACAGTAGACTATCGACACCCACCTGCGTCAAGCATTGTAACTCCTTCCTAGCGATATCCTGGCTTTTCCCGATCGACTCTTGAAGTACGATCATGATAAACATTTTTGTGGTGGGACAAAAAAACGGGTATCTGAATGCTCCCATCGAGTATAGTACTGTGACCACGCCCGTGTACGATTTAACCTAACCCTGGTCTCGAGGGAGGGTTCACATGCGGTATGATCAGTATCATACTTATGATAAGTATGGATACCGTATCATCCTGAGCATGATGGATGGATAGGATTTTATTATATTATTATTCTTATTATGATAATATTATCGATCATTTTACCGTCAGATGACCTGGCACAGGAACAATGGGTGTACGAATACCGGTACGGTATGATACTGTACAGTACTCGTACGTGTGGCGCCGGTAAGGATCTTCTCTACCGGTACTAGTACAAGTACACTTGTACGATCGGTTACCTTTGTGTATCGAATAAGGTAGGACAGTGGGCCCCGTGTCGGAAGTGGAGATGGTCCTGGTTCCTGAGACTATTGTAATGCTGTACCACTTGCTAAGTCTCAGACAAACTCGATATGGTACCGGTACCTTGAGGGTCGTGGTACAGTACTCGTACCGTATGGAACACTAAAAAACAAACACTCAACGGTTTTGATCCCCGGGGAAACCCGCACCCGAGAATCGTGGTCATAAATAGTCACTCGATACCTCAAATAGAACTCGGAGATTGGAGATGAAAGGAAAACCACCGATTTCCCTTTGGGTTACCGTATAGAGCCTAACCTCCTTGCCTTGACATCCTTCACCTTTTCTTATCACCACCTCAAGGTACGAGTACAGTACTCGAGTACCGGTATGTGGGCAAGCCGCCGCCCGGCTCCAAGGTGCAGACGCCGCACACCCTGACGGCGTTTCATCACCAACTAACCGGCTCACTGCACCGCCGTAGGTTTTTTGTGTGGGTGGCGTGGAATCCCGCGGACCCGTCTCTGGCCCCTGAATACCGTAGTTCTCAATTCCGGTCCTACAGCATCAACCAGGATCACACCCCAAATCTCAGATGATGCAGTAGATCCAATACCGGTGCTGAGTACCGGTACGTGCCAGATAACAAGTGAGCTACCGAGTAGAGCCTTCCTGGTGGTTGTACTCACGCGGTTTGTTAGGTTTATCTCATAATAATTCGGAGTGCCGGAAAAAATTTTACTCCGTGGAGTGAACCTTTTTCCCCTGAGCAAGGTTAATGGAAGAGTTTTTCTTCGGTTCAGTACCGGTGGTTTGGGAAGGTGCAGTAGTACCCGAGTAGGCTCGGTGCTCCCTCTCTGGATTCTGCAAGTTCACCGTGGGTAGGGCATAACCAGTTCCCGGTCGCCGGATTTGGGTCTGTACTCGGGTAGGGAGGTTAGCGATGAGGCGGACAGGGTATGGGTGGCCGAGGACATCCACGCATTCCCACGCCTTGAGTATATACTGTATATGTCTTGGGCCACCTGTACTGTACCCTGTCCGTCTCATCGCTAGCCTCCAGACTCGAGTAACCATGAGGTAGTCGAACAGTCCGGTAAAAGCACCGGAGGATTGCGCAGTACTCGAGTAAAGGTGTGTTCGTGGAGATTACAGTATCTCCTGCAGGTGAATGCATAAAATGGAGTAGTATCGGTAAGGGGGTGTATTTATTATCTTCAGGTTAGGGATTCGACGCGCAAACTCGAATACAGTGCTTGCATACAGTATCCGGACTAGCCTAAAATCGGCGACACGGATTGCAGGTAGACAAATTACTCGCACTGTTAACAACTGCCAAGTGAGTCCCA